CCCCAAAACCCCAAAACCCCAAAACCCCAAAACCCCTTGCGAATGAGATAAAAATTAAATCAGGAAAAATAAAATAAGCTAATCCAGTTTTCAAAATGATCATGATTTATCCTTCATAATGGCTTTCTCTTGATATTCTAGAGTTTGCATTTCCTTGATTCTGGATATACACCTTTCAAATGCAAATTCTTCATCAAACTACGTCTTTTCTTTAGGTTTTTCAAACATATTTTCAATAGGCTACTCTGCTTCGATGATAACCTTCCTCTAGTAGAAATATAGTTGATCAATAAGTAGAATAAATCTTCTTAATATGTCTCTTCTTTCCAATGATAGCTGAGGAACATTTCTAATTATTATTGTATTAAAAGCTTATGCCAAAGCCATGAAATCTGTGCTGCCTTTGGGCTAATCGCATAGTTCAGAGAATTCAACTTCAGCAACTCTCTTGGCTTCCTTTGGAATCATCATTTATCTTCCTTAGGCTACTTCTATCATCTTAGGAGCTCCTCTGCTATTATTTGTTAAGGAATTCCAAATGCTTTATATCTTAGAGTCAGTTTCCTTATTCAGTGGATAATAATAGGTGTCCATACTCATTGCATTTAATAAGCGGTAATCTATTGCACTCAAACTATATGTATTTATAGTAAATTTTCTTACTTAATTACATGAGACTTTTCTTTTATAAGGTCAATAAATGGCATAAATAAATATCTCTGCAACCCATTTAGATACAAATCTTCAGGAGGTCTATTGCTTGTAAAAAGTATTAAGAGCTTATTTTCCCAGAATGATTCAAACAATCTTTTCAGTATCATTGCGTCAGCTATGTCCAGTACCTAAAATTCATCTATACTGAAAAAAGTAATATCTCTACAGAAACCATTTCCAACAGTTAAAATGGTATCTTGACTTTAGTTTTTTAGTTTTTAGTTCAATTTATGCTCCTCCTTATGAACTTCTAGCATGAACTCATTATAGTGAAGTTTCTTCTTGGCCTCAATATTGAGAGAGTCATTAAATAAATCCATAATGAAAGTCTTGCCACAACCAGGTTCTCCCCATAAATAAATACTTTTTAAATCATCTAAGTCCTTATATCTCTCTTATAAGAAATTTTTTCCACCTTTTTGGTTGTAACTATCAGCTTGCTTATTCAAATTGTGATGAGGTGAGAAGAAATTAAATAATCCTTGACTCTCGTTTAACGTTTAAGCTTGATTAATGGCAAGTGAGGTTTTATGTCCTTTATACTATTTAATTTGATTTAAAGGGCAATTTTTAATTTACCGTTTAATACTCCTGCTTATAATCCATAATTCTCTTTTGCCTCTCAAGGAATTTATCAGCATATTGATCAAGTGTCCTTATCTAAAATTATTAAATTTTAAATCTATATTCATACAACTACATGCTAATTTGTGTCAAACTTGACTTTCCCTGTTTGGATCATGTCCTAAAATTTGTAAAACTTAAAATTGAATATACATCATATCTCTTCTCCATTTTTACTCTTTAGGAGAACTTTCGTCTCTCTGTTCTATGAATAGAACGGTAACCTTCATCATTGGAAACACATTGAGCTTAAATAATTTTAATGTTTTGGACAATGGGGTGTCTGAGTGCAGTTAGCTATTTGAAATAAATTTAACTAAGACCGTTCATTAGTATTTATTATATTTACAATTATTATATTATTAATTAATGATCACTATTACTTGCTTTTGTTTAATCATGGCAAGTTTTGGTTGAACAATATGGGAGGAGACTCCAAATTATCCTTTAATTTGAGGTCTACTACTTCCTTTACATTCATTATCTTACTGTAGCATCTACTCAGACATAGTCTTTCTCCGTAGCTCAGATTGTATTTATCACTGTGTCCAGTTTATTAGAAATCGATATTTTGATATTGTGATTCTAAATACTGGATGTCATCTGTCTCTTTCACTCTATGATTCATACATCTAGCTCCACATTCCTGAGCAATTTTTGCCTTCAATTCCTATTCTAATTTCATAGCTGAAAGCTCTTTCTTAAATAAAGGTTACTAAGGTTGAATAGTTTATTGTTTTTTAGGATCTGGAATTTCTGGCTTAATAAAAAATATCCCTTATAGTCTTGTATCAGCCTAAATGTTTTTCTGCATTTTTTTAGAATTAATAACAAATGTTTAATCACAATATTGAGTGTATAATTATGAGTTTAAATTAAATCTACATTCTAAAATTCATCTGAATTGTGAAGAGCTTAATAAAGATTTCCTGTTAAATTTCATCTTCTATTTGCTCCTTTTCCACCGCCTATTTAAGAATTACCACGAGCATTTCCTCCAACTCTTTTATTAACATCCATAGTTTTAGTTTTACAATGAGGTATGTGCCTATCTGCTGCAACTTCACTAAACTTTCTCTGGCAGTATGGACATTATTTACGATCATCATATTACTGTTGTGGTGGAGGTTAAGCATATCCTCGTTAACCTCCTCCGCCTCTTCCAGCACCCTAACCATAACCTTAACCTTAATATAAGTTAGGCTAGGGATTCACTCCTCTAGCTGCTCTCATTGCCTATCTGAATTGTTCACTTTAACTTTTCCATTTAGGCGCTGGCCCTAATGGTTATTGAGCTCTTCTCTGATTATCAGGCTTTACCTATTCCTATTTCTTTTATCTGACTAGCATTTACTTCTACTCATTAGATATCATTCTTTTAGCCTGTGAGTTAAATACTTTTCTTTTACTTTGAAACACTTTCTTGCAAATTTTTGAGTGCTTAGCATAAGCTTCATCATTAAAAGATCTTCCACAACTAGGACACTCATTTAAATGCATATCCTTAGGCTATGCAAATGCCATCGCTGGTGGCCCTCTAACTTTTGCAGCCGGTTTACTCACTGGTTATTTTGATACTTCATCCCTATAACTATTTTACTACTAATACCCAAATCCTTAATTGTTAGTTGATGCAGAGGGAGGTCTTTTTTATGGAATACCGCTTTAAGGCCTCTTTTTTAGGTCTTAATTTGGCTAATTTATCTTTTTAGATTCCTCTTCATAATAATTCATCTGATTTTATCCTCTTACACCTAAATTGCTACTTGGAGGCCTTTACATTTTCTATTACTGAGACACTAGTGGTTTTTACTAAAAATTACTCGAAACAGGAGGCCTATTATTTTGCTAAGGTTAGACTACTCTTCCTTGATTGTTATCATATTATTGATAGCCCATTCCATTATTTTAGTTAGAAACTCTGCTTTGTACACCTTATCCTAACTTTGATACTGCTTGACTTTATCTCTAATTTTATGCTGAAGTCATCCTATCGTATTATTGTTACTAAATATCCTCATTGAAATTCATAGCTTAAGCTTTCATCGGTCCTCCATGCTTATTAAGCTATTAAAGATTAGATTTTTGTGCAGCGTATCCAATCCCTTATCCTATAGTTTGCCTGACTTATTATTAATTATTGAACCCGAAATCTTATTCATGATTCTCTTATCTTTAATAATTATTTTGCTTTTAAGGCTATGCTCTTGAATTCTAAGCCTAGTTTCCAAATTGATGAGGATTTTATTAGCCTAAGTTCTAAAAATATGAATTATTTTCATGGTATATTTTCTTACTGCAGTCCCTATTCTGTTTCCTCCAAACTGGTTGCCTTAGCCAATGAAATCATCTTATGGCTGAGATCTTATTTAGCTTCCTTTCCTCTCTTCTCTTAGCTATTTAGCTTTTTCAAGCTACTACTTCTTTTTCTCAGCCCACTCAGCAGCTTATGATGAAGCGATGTTTGAAGAATTCCTTCTCATTTAAAATTTATGCAATTATTTTAAATAAATGAAAATTAAATTCTAATCTAAAATCAATTGAAAGTTTGATTATCATCCATTCAATCCCTATTAATTAATATAAATAGTATCTTGCAGCTCAATAAATAATTTAAAAAAAACTAAGAAGAAATTTTTAGTTACGAGACTCAAATAGAGATCAAGTGATGAAGAAAAACCCTACTCTTAAAGAGTACAGTATTCTCTAGAAATACCCGAGCAAGACGCTCAACAATACCACAATCAACACTCTGGCCAATACAGAGGCACCCATTGAGGTGTTCCCACCAGAGATATTTTTCAAAGGTAAAATTTCAATCCAAAGAGGAAGCAAGTATTTAAATTTAACTTCTAGATATTGAGAGCCATCAGAACTACGAAGTAACTGTAACAGTGAGGAACATCAGCAAGAAGGTGCGCAGAATAAAGTTCTCTCAACCAAAAACTAATAAGTTTAAGTGTGACTATGATATGCAAGGACCAGTGGCTGCAGGATTGGCCATCAAGATGAACGTTTCATTTGAGACTGACGTTGAAGGTGACTTCCATGATGTGATTGAGATCAGCACTGAGGATCACAAAGAGACCTACAAGCTTTACCTTCATGCTCTAAAGCCAGGTCCAGATATTCAATTTGAACCTCTTGTCAATTTCAAATTCATCCCAATCAATACTACTAAATATGAAGAAATTGAATTCAAAAACGAGGGCAGAGTTGCTGGAACTGTCAGACTAGATTTTGATTAAAAGAAAAACGCTGAGCTCTCAGTAGAGCCTGCAAGATTCACACTAGAGCCAGATGAAATAAGAAAAGTTCGAGTTGGACTTACAGCTACAGATCCAGACTTTCTTATGAAGCTAATTCAAGTTGTTGTCGAAGGACAAGATAGGGTGAGGAACATTGAGATAACTGCAACAAGTGTCGAGCATCATCTCTCTATTGTCTTTGAAGAGGGTGGTGGCCAGAAGAGCTCTCTTAATTTTGGCACCCTGTACATGGGAGAAAGAAGAGAGTACCCAGCTTTCTTGGTTAATAACGGTCCCAAACCAGTAACCTATAATTTCAAATTTTTACAAGGTTTAAGAAATCTTGATGACGCTCATCATAGTGAAGATGAGAACTTTGTTTCCCCAAGCCAAGCTGGCAAAGAACTTACTGAAAGAGTATTGACAGCTGAACCACTGTCTGGAAGTGTCGCCGCTTACTCTTAACTTCCAATTAAGTTCATCTGTAGAACTAAGAAATTTGAAAAAGTTGGAGGATTCTCAGATCATACTCAAAGAATCAAACCTGATAAGCCAGGTAGTGCCTCAGCTCCAAGTGAAGATAAATATACTATAAAGCCAGAGGAGTATGCTTCTCTAGCATTGATCAACTTTGGAGAAGGACATGATGATCTCAAAGTTCAAATGATGGCAAGAGCATGCTACCCAGAAATCAAGATAAATCGTCAAAACATCTAATTTGGAGAATGCGCTACTAATGAAAGGAAGGATTATAACTTGACTATTAAGAACAAGAATGAAGATCTCCCAATTGATTTCAACTTTACTAAAATAGCCCATTTCCATGCAATTCCTGCAAGAGGTAAACTGCTACCTGGAACAGAGCACTCAATCAATATCTCCTTCGAACCGAAGAACTTTGGAGTCTTCAATTAGTAAATGGACTTAGAACTGCTCGGTGGAATTTATAAGATCCCAATCAAGGTTATGGGTTCTAGCAACTCTATGGGCTCTAAGACTCTTGGCTAGAGAGGACCATAGGCTAAGCCGGATGATTTCTAGCCACCCAAGAATTTCATTGACGAACACCAAGCTGATTTCCCAGCAGCTAAGACATTAAGCAAGACCAATAAGCAAGGAGGTCCCAATGATCTACCTAAATGGCTCCAAGAAAGTACCACAATGTAAATAGACTCACAGTTGAAGATTGATAACACTGAGAAAATAGATCAGTACCTTGTGATAAAGCAGAACAAGACTAAGTACAATGAATTCTTGAAGAAAGAGAGACAAGGAAGAGAGAAGGATGCAAAGATTCAAGAAAAAATGAAGTCAACTTCCAGACCTCCTCCTCAGACATTCGAAGAAATCAAGAATGATATTGACTTAGGCATGGACTTTGGAATGGAACCTCCACAACTTACCTTACCAGATCAAGTTGATCCCTTGTATGTCGAAAAACCAATTGGAAATTATGAGCCGATGAACAATGTGGCCTAGAAGAGAATTAAAGGCACTGAAAAAGGATCAGAGACTGAGAGCAGAATCATTAGAAAGAAGTTCAAGAGTGAACCAACTACCTAAGCTGAACTCAGAGATTGCAGCGAGGAATTAACTGGTGAATAATTGTAGAAGATAAATGCAGGACCTTAGATTATAGACTTTAAGACAGTTTTTGTCAAGTCAACTACAACTAAAAGCTTCATTGTTACCAATGATCTTAGACAGCATATTCATGTGAGATTGGTTATACAAGACAAAGAACTGATTAAGAGCTCTCCATTGTCTTAAGTCATTCCTCCTGGATAGGAAGCTGGATTTGATATCACTTTCTGCAGTGAATCTTAGCAAGCAGTTACATTCAAGAGGGAAATCACTTACTTCATTAATGACTCAAAGGCTTTCAAATTTAGAGTTTAAGCATAAGCTGAACCAGTTACTCTTGATATCTCAAAGAAGTCTTTGAAGTTCTAGTTCCCTGATGACTTCATGGATATGAGCATCTCAGAGAACATTGTCATTACTAACACTGGTAATGCCACTGCAAAGTTCAAATGGATTTATGGAGTTTCTGGAGTATTTGTACCTTCTCCAGTTGAAGACGAAGTTCCGCCTGGATCTTCTAAAATATCTAAGATTACATTTACGCCTCCAGGACCCAAACCCGATGATGAACTGATAACGCTTAAAATTGAAGATGGTCTTCCAGTAGATGTTAAGTGTAGTGGAATAGTTAATGAAGCTAAATGCGTAGTTAAGGAAAAGTCCGTAGAATTCGACAACGTACCAGTGGGTATCAGGGCAAAGGAATAAGTGTTCCATATTAAAAATTAGATAAGAATTCCAGCTGTATTTTACGTTTAGTGTGACAATGAGGAACTGACTATTAATCCTTCAAAAGGTAAAATATCAGCTGATTAACAGCAAATATTCAATGTTAGCTTCCTCTCTAATGTAGAAAAAGAGTTTAACTCTGAAATCACAGTTCATATAAGAGGAGCTAAACCTCTAAAAATTCCAGTAAGAGCTAATGCCATTATACCCGATGTTAAAATTGAGGAAGATATATTCGACTATGGTGGAGTAACTTTTGGTGATTCTAAGACAATGCCACTTACGATTCACAATGATTCAAACATCGATGCTAAGATTATCCTAGATTTGAGGGACTACCCAGAATTTGAAATTATACTTCCAATTGAAAGTGTTGATGATGATGTAGCTTCAGAAATAATGGTTCCCATCGCAGAGCAAATTAATTATAATGACTTGGATGATATGAATCCTGATGATATCAAAGATCCACTAAATGAAGATGAGGGAGACGAAGAGGAAGAAGAAGACGATGATCAGAATAAAAGACATGTCTAGATTACCTTGAAACCTGATAAAAGTCCTCTTAAACTCTTGCTCAAGTATACTCCCTGCGATGTCGACGATCCTAGAAATTTTGAACTACCTCTAAAACTCGCTGGTGTGGGAGATATTGAAGGACTGAATAGAGTTGTAAAGGGAGTCGGTGTAAAGCCCAGATTCTTGCTTGAACCAACTGTGATCAATTTCAAGACGAAAGTTATTGCGAAAGGATCAAAGCCTTTACCATTCCACAATGACATAACCATTTCAAACCCAGATCATAACCCAATTACTTGGTCGATTGACAGAGAAGTCCTCGATAAGAGTAAAGTATTCCAAATGAATCCAACTGAGGGTAGATTAGAACCTGGAACCACTTCAACTGTGAGGGTAACCTTTAATCCATTAGAACCTTAAGAGTATGTTGTTAAAGTTCCTCTCTATCTTGATGGGGATAAGAGTAAAGCCTATTTAATGATCGAATTCAGGGGCGAGGGAGCAGAAGCTAAGATCTTCTTTGATAGAAGAGAAATTATTCTTCCATGCGTTCCACTTGGCTTCCCAGCAAAAGCCACATTTTTAGTATGCCATAATGGATATGAAAACCTTGAGCTTAGACCTAAAATTGCAACCGAAGTAGGAAAATTGCCAATCACTTTGAATTTCCCTGATGGTAAAAATCTTGGGGTAACCAAGCAGAAACTCAAAGTTGAAGCTATATTCCAGAATAAAAAGCCTCTATCTTTCACTACCCACATTGATTTCTATGATGATGAGGGAAATAAATTCTCAATACCAATATCAGGTACTACTGATAATTCATTATTCACAGTATTCTCTTACATGTAAAGAAATCCAGATGAAATTAATTTAGAATATGGGCCAGGAAAGCCAATTATGATAGTTCAAGACGCTTCTTCTGATTAAGAATCAGGGAAAACAGGAATCCCAGGAGGAAAAGCATTTTCAAAGACTGGAGCATCTTCAGTTATTTCTAGAACAGCTAGATCTTTGGTTGGATTTAATCCAGTCCCAGTTCAGATTCTTGAAAAGAATTGCGAATATGTCTGCAGATGGTTTAATGCTACACTTCAAAGTTCCACAATGTAAAATTTTCCTAATGATATCATCAACCAAAATGGAAACTAAGTCTTTGAGTTGATTGCATATTTATCTGGAAAGAGACCCCCAGGTTAAGCCCCTAAAATTTTAGGAAATAATAATAATTAAAATGCCAAAGATAATCTTAAGATTCTATTAACTTAATATGAAGAACTCATTAATTTCCTTAAAGTAAATGGTGCTCACTTAAATACAGTTAGACCAGAATATCTCCTTAGTTTAAGTGACTACAGCAAATTCCTTAAAATGAATCCTAAAGAGGAAAATATGAAGCCAAAGACTTTAGAAAGAATATTCCCTTATCTTTCACAAGAATCATGGATCACAGTATTTTATTAAGTCCTGAAAATATATTACCTAAACAGAGTAACTGCTAAGTCTTTCAAAACATTACCTGGTATGGCGTAAAATGAGGCAAATGTAGATCCACCAATGACCTCTTCAAACATTTACTCAGTGAGTGAAACAATTCTCCTAAAATGGATGTAATCTCACTATAATAAAGTAAATCCTATGCATCCCAAAGCTCTCACAAATTTTGATGCTGATCTTCATGATGGACTAGTATTTGCATCATTGATACGATCTCACTTTGGTAACTCCAAGAATATCAAGGATATGAAACCAAGTGTTTACAATGAAGAGCAAGTTTTATTCAATGCCAAGAAAGTTATTGAAGCTGTTCATGAGATTGGACTATAAACACATCTATCACCAAGTGATATTGCTAATCCAAGTGCAAGAGAACTTCTACTATTCTGTGTTTAGCTTTATCAAGGACTTCCTCATTACATTCCAAAAGCTCAAATAGAATTCCCAGCCGTCTTGGGAGATTTAGTAACCAAGAATATTGAGCTATCAAACCCCTCAAAGAATCCTATTAGCTACTGGGTTAAATTAGATGGATCATCTGATTTTTCGGTTGATGAAGATTGTGTCAGGATTGAGCCAGGAAATACAGTTAATTTCCCTATTAAATTCCAAAGTAGAATAAGTAATGCTGTTATGGGAAAGATTATATTCACAAATAAGAAGGAGGGAAATATTTAAGCTGCAGCAATGGTCTTTGAGATGGTGTCAAATGTCTATGAAAGAAACTCAATTGAAAAGTTGGAAAAGACAACTAAACTTTATAAAGCTACTTAAATTGATATTGAACTTCAGAATCCTTTCCCCTAAGATGTTGCCTTCAATGTCTAAATAATCTATGAAAGAAACTAGAAGGCGCCTGGAAAGAAGGGAGCTCAAGGTGCAGCTGGAGCAGCAGCTGGGGCTAATTAAGGTAAAGGTGATAAGAACTAGCAAGCTAATCTGCCTGCTGGAGCGAAGAAAGGTTCAGCACCAGATCCAAGCAAAGGAAAGAATCCCAATGTTCCTGATCCATTCTCATGCAAGCTGGAAATTGCTAAGGTTAGAAAGAACTAAACAGTCAATGTGCCTATTCTCTTCCTACCATTCGAATTAGGGGTTCATAAATGCTTTGTTGTATTTACTGATGAAAATGTTGGAGAGCTCCAGTATACCATCATTGGAAAAGCTGAACTTCCAGAAATAATGGATTCATTCACAGAAAATTGTAATGCCGAGGAGACATTCACAATGAGAAAGCTACTTAATTATAAGAATGACAAGCTAGAACAGGCTAAGAACTAAGTCATGGATAAGAATACTCTTTTGAAATAACGGGAAGCTGCAGCTCAGTAACAAACTTTAGTTCCTGGTAAAGGAGGAGTAGCAGCTGCTCCTAGTGATCAGAAATACTTTGAGATTGAAATATCTCATCCTTCATTCACTGGATAATCTAGCATCACTCTATATGACCAAGCTAGAAACTTTGGAAGAGATGCTGCTAAAGGAACTGTTTCAACTCCAAAAGGTGGAGCAAAGTAAAGCAATCAAAATCAAGCAGCTGCTGGAGATCAAGGAAACTTGAATATGCTCGAACTCACAGTCAACCCAACCAAGCCAGCAACTTACCCATGCTTCGTTATCCTGAAATCATTAGACAGGACTGATATTAGACTCTATGAATTCAAAGTAAATGCTATTCCATAGAAAATTAAAGCCCAACTTGAATTCAGAGTCCCAGCAAGAGGATCTGTTGCCTAAGAAATTCCAATAGTGAATAATTCTTAAAAAGAATGGACTGTCACCGCAACATTAGATTAAGTAAAGGGAGGTTGTTTCAGTCTAACTAGAAATCAAATTGTTGTCAAGAAAAGTACCACAGAGAATTTCATATTGAGTTTTAAGCCTACTTGGGTTTGCACTGTAACAGGAATGCTAACTCTTCATAATAAGAATACTGGAGAGGTTTATGAATATGAATTAAAGGGATTCGGAGAGGAACCTCTGGCTGAAGATCATATTGTACTGAATTGCAAAGCCAGAGAAACAACCAAGACATTCTTTGAAATCAAGAATCCAACTGAGAAGTAAGCTAACTATACTGTTTGGACTGACCTTTAAAATGCAGTAGGAAAGAAGGAATTCTCAATAAAGCCTAAAGATGTTTTCAAGTATGAACTTGCAATCACACCATTGCTTGGAGGAGTGTATACTGCTTCAATTACATTTCAAGATAACGAGGAAAGATTTATGTGGTGGACTGTTGAAGTTAGAACTGATTCACCAAAACCAGAGAGAACAGTTGATCTAAAGGCTTTCATTAGAAAAGCTGCAACTGCTGAAATATTCCTCAATAATCCACTAAATGAGCCAATTAGTTTTGAAGTATTTTACTCAGGTGAGGGACTTCTTGGAGATAGTGTATTCAGTCTTGAGCCAAAATCAATTGGAACATACAATCTTATATTCAGCCCCCTTATGTCTGGAGAATTCTAAGGAACTATAGGCTTTTTAAATGAGAAGGTAGGGGAATTCTGGTATGATTTGAATCTTGTTGCTGAAGAAAATCCACCAGTAAACCTTGAACTTTTAGAGTGCGAACTAGGAAAAGTAGCTTCACATTTTATTACTCTTGAAAATCCAACAGGAAATGAATTGCTTCTTGACTACAGAAACTCTAATCCAACAAACTTTGAAGTCATTCCAGACAAGATTGTTTTACCTCCATATGAAACACAAAGAGTTTGCATTCAATACTCTCCAAGTAATCTCGATGTAGTTGAAAGTGGTCAGATAATCATAGAAAATCCATAAGTTGGTAAATGGGAATTTAATATTGAAGGAAAAGGACTTATTCCAACAATAATGGAACCTTAGCCAATATCTACAGCTGTAGGAAACAATACCTCTTCAATGCTAACTTTCAAGAATCCCTTCAGAGAGGGATCAACAGTATCTGTCCATATGGAAACTGATGATTCACGTATTTTCTCACTTCTTCTAAAGAGAAACAAATTCAATATTGGACCTTTAGGTATTTTACAAATTCCATACTCATTCTCCCCTTAAACTATGACTGAAAGCAAAGCCACTATTGTAATTGGAATGAGTAAGTAACTAGTTTGGAGATATCCACTAAAGGGTATTGCAGAAAGTGCTTCAACTGTCATTGACTATCATTTCAAAACAAAAGCTAGAAAACCAGTTGAAGAAACATTGAGAATTGTTTTGCCAGGATTTGAGGATGTGAATTTCAATGATACATTCAGATACGAAATCAATGTCCAGAACTAATAGCACAAAGGCTTTATTGAGAGATCAGTTTTCTTTGAACAAAAGAATGAAACTCTCAGTTCAACAAAGGATCCTTTGATATTCTTTATGAGATTTGAACCATTAAGACCTTTCAAGACTAATACTGAATTCATAGTATACAAGAGCACTGGCGGAAGATGGAAGTTCAACATGATATTTGAAGCCCTTGATCCAGAAGTTGATGATGTCATAATAATTCAAAGTCCTCTTCACAAGACCTCCAGTGTTTCTTTCAAGCTTTCAAATCATATGAGAACTTTCGCTGAATTCAACTCCTTCTTTACTCCTGATTCAGCTCCAGAATTTGTAGTGTATCCTAAGACTGGTCTTCTTGAACCATATGGAAAGTAAGTATTTCAATAATTTAATGACTTTAGGGATGGTACTAACTTCATAGTTTCTTTTACACCCACTGAATATGGAAAAGCTAAAATTGGAAAACTTGTCATCCAAACTGAGGAAATGTAATGGACTTATGAAATTAGGGGTTCTCATCCTCAATATAAGATTCCAGAAGTCGGAGGAGGAAGAATCTAAAACAAACTCTCCAAAGAAATTGCAACAGTTTTTAAAGCTAAGCATGACGAGAAAAAGAACTTCTTAAAGGAGAATTTGAAGACAACCAAGCACAATAATCCTACAAACCCAGGCCAAAATTCACCTGGTAAAAATTAAGGCTATGGTGGAGCTTCTGTTGCTAATATTTCTCAAAGAGGAAATAACAAGAGCAGAGCTGGAGGCACTACCACTGCTGGAGGCAGAGATCAAAGCAATGATAGGTCAACCTTCCTTAAACCTTGAAAAAGGTTTATATTGAGTGATAAAATTTCTCTCAATTTCAAGTCATCAACACCCTGATTGACTCAATTTAATTTCAAAACTAACAACATAAAATAATCTTGATTTCATAATTTGATTTTCTAGATTCAATAGATTCTTCATCAACGGGGTTTTGGGGTTTTGGGG